CAAAGGAATCCTTGTTTACCAAAGTGAACCTACCTGTCAAAGCACCTGACACGTTACCTCTCCACAGAAATCCTCGATAAATTCTTGCCAAATGGATGAATGAATAAACAAATGAAGAAGGGAGTTCAAGAATGAACAAGAGTATGAATAAGTCTTTTCCTTTTGGGCAAGCTTCCCAAACTGAACAAATCATTCAGTGTGAAGTCATCACCACTGTTCAGAATTAGATCCACCAGCGCATTCAAAGTCCTGTCATCCGAAGTTTTCATGTAGATTGTCTTCATTCCCTTTCTCAACAACCCTTTGGATTAGGATGGCATTTGCCCCCATTTTATGAGGTTGGAAATTGAAGTCCAGAAAGGTGAAAAGTCTTATCCAAGAATTACACTGCTGGTTTGGCAGAGTTTGCGTCCAGCTAAGTACATTCTCTGTTTAGAGATGCAACTCTGAGGAAAACTGTGAACTCAGTGCCTTTCCATGTTTCACTTTTCTCACTTAAGGCTTAACTATCTACAGTCCTCTATTCTAGTGACCTGGACATCAACTGAGACTCCACGTTTCCCCCACTGCCTTTCATTGCCAATGAATTACCGATATCCACCAATTCCTTCTCCTAAAAATCTCACATATCTCCCCCATTCCCCTATCCTGCATGCTTCTTTGTTCAGCCCACTGTCTTCTTTCTCCTCATCTAATTTAAGTGCCCTCTAACTGATGTTGAGCCCCTTAGCCCTGTCATCTTAACGCCATCCTCCATACAGCAGTCACAATGGTCTTTATGGAACACATGGATGATCACCTCACTCTCCTGCTTTCATTCTTCAGTCAATCCTCTTTCCTCATAAGGAAAACATCTCACATGAAGTTCATCATGGTCTGATTCCTCCCACTTTGTCCATCCCCTGCTATTGCCCTGCCCCCACCATCACACATGGCTTACTGTATGTCAGTACTGTGTATCAAGAACTATTCTAAGTGCTTTACAGCTAATAACTCCTTAAGTCTCATAACAAATTGATGAAATAGTGAAATCTCTAGGAGAAGAAACCCTGTGGCCATGTCTTATTCAACTACTCATTCCCAATGCCTAGCACAGGACCCAGTCCGTAGTAGGCACTCAGAGAACATCTACTAGATGGGTGGATGGATGGATAAATATAATATGACATAAACGTGTCTAATTCTGATGCTAAAAATAATCTAAAATTAGCTGCTACAGCAACACTGGGCACAGCTAATCAGAACTCTGTACTCTCCCTTATCCAGTTTGAAATCTGTAAATCAATCATATTTTCAACATACCAGAAATATAGATGCATAAAAACTCCAGAAGTTAAAGATGATAAACTGATGGTGAATGGATGTAAAATATTGCTTGTTCTCTCCTTTCCCAAAATCTTGTGAAGTCTTGCCAAGCAACCCAATGAGAAGAGCACAGTCACTCATGAAGTCTGTGTGTCCAACCATCTGCATTCAACCAAGACCAGGGAAAGCAGATGTACTCTGAAGAATAGCTGTTTCTAGAATCTTTCAGTAATTGAGCTGATTTGCATTTTCCCTTCAACATGAACTGATTTTAAGTGGGAGAAAAATCAACTTCTGTTTTGTACTCTAATGAGAGGATAAAAGTTATACAACCACGAATTCCACTGTTTAGAGGTGCCTGCTCATTTTCTGCTGCCTGCTAGCCATTTGGGAGCATTTTAATTTAACTTTCCACTTGCATGTTCTCCATTAATATTTATGAAATGATTACTAGCTGCGGCTCAGTCTTTAAAAACTGGATTTGAAGCATTCTGCAAAATACATTTGCTAGTAGTTGTGAACAAATAATGCTATAACAACCTGTTACGAAACTTCCATTCCTTCATGTACCCCTTTTTTCCTGAAGCTAAGATAATTAAAAAGCAGTGTGGGCCTAATCAGCAGGTAGTAATTTTAATAATTACACTAAACATTGTTTATTACAGGAATCCTTAGACCAAGTCCAATTCCTGACTTTGAGCAGAATCTGTGGAGTCTTAAATGCCCATTAAATAAACACAAAGCTTTATTCCCAAGACCTACGTTAACATCATACTAATAACTAGGATGCATTATGCTCTTTATAGTTGAAAAGTTCTTTTTCACATTTTTTCAAATTTTATCCTTACAATTACTCTATGAGATGGGTGTTATTATTCCTATTTCACAAATTAGAGTTTCTAGGCCAAGAAAGTAATGTCATTCATGTAATAACCACTGTCTGAACAGCCGCCATGTGCCAGACTCCAAACCCAGCTCTTTCATCTAGAGGGTACACATCACAGCCTGTCCATCGGAGAGCTCGCGATCTCTGCAGAAGTGGGGCACGCAAGTAAACAGATCACTGCAGTGGAGTGAGGGAAATGACTGACAACAGGGGAGGGCTGCACACGGTAAAGCACAAAATCAAAGCTGAAGCAGGGAACAGGAAGAGGGGTCCTGGAAAGCTAAGAAAGTTTTAAAGCTGAATCCTAAGGACAAGTAAGCAAACACAACTCAGAGGCACGAAGCCCCCTAATTTTCAGGCATCTGCTTATGGCCTGATGCAACAGCAGACAGCGAGATGGGAGGGGCTGCTGGAGAAGCAGGCATGAACCAGATCACAAAGGGCCTTCTGCTGGGTTCAAGTTTCATTTTTTTAGCTGATGAAGAATCATTTGAAAAAATGGAAGCAGGGCAGTTCAATGATGAAATATGTGGACTGTGTAGGTTGTTCAGCAACAAGGACTGATTAAATCAGAGAGTGAGAGACCAGAAGCAAGGGGACTAGGTAGAAGTTCAGGAAAGGAGTGACAAAGGCTTGAAATTGGCCATGGGGCAGGGACAGTGGGGATGAAGGTTAAGGTGCCAGAAAGTGGCAGAACCCATTATTGGACCAAATCTGTGTCTCCAAATAGCGTGCTCTACACACTACAGCACACTAACGTTATAAGACAGGCTTTAAAAAGCATCTCCTGTAGACACGAAGAAACCAGTAAAATGGCATCAAAGAATGATGAGACACCCCCCCCCCCCCCCACTGGATATCAAAGCTGAATGGACTGCTTCCTATAATAAGGCAGAGTTACATTGATCAGGCGCAGTCTACAAGTCCTCTGTGTGCAAGGCTGGCTCGTGCCAAAGTCAGAGGAGAAGAGCTCTTTGGCCTTCTCATCTCTTCTTCCATGTCTAATGATAACACTTTCATCAAAAGCATCTTCAAACGTAACCTCACTCCAAGGTGGACTGTCATGAAGAGCACTTGACTACTCAGGTCCAAGACATTTCATCTCTGTTGGTGGAAATTCTGGAGCATTAAGAGATACTGGGAAGATCGGAGGCCACACCGGGGAGTCAAGTTTTCAGGCATTGTTGAGGTGGCACTGTTTGAGAAAAGACAGACTATCTCATTTGTACACACACGTGTACAAAGATGCACATGCTTGCACACACAGACACACACATGTTTCTTCAGGCAGGAAGGACTTGGATGAATCACCTGTCTGCTGATGACTTTCTATCACGAGACTGTTGTCTGATGGTGACCACCTTTTTCAAACCAAAATCAAAACTCACATTCTAGAACGCTTTCCCTTTTATAATTTCTCTTAAGTAAAATAATATGTTTAATAAAGTCTGAGTGATTTTCATGGTTTATTTCACCTGATGCCCAGATGAACAGTGGTTTTTGCCAACTCCAGTCGCCTCCTCCCACGCCCCTAGCCCTCCCCCTCACCCTTAACAGGACTTGCCTTCCATTTGGTATAAACACTTATTCTCTCTTTCTTCTCAAATTATTTGTTTCTACTCTACTCCACCTCCTTTTAGGACAGTGAAATGGTATAATGGATCGGGAGTCTGATGGATCTGAGACTGAATTCCAGCCCTGACAGTGACAAACTGTGAGCCAAAGCAAGTTCTTCCACATTTTTGAGCCTTGGGTTTCTCATCTGAGAAGTGTGGCTAACAGCCCCCCTTCAGCTCCGGATACATGAGAAGTGCTCAATAAATACTGGCTCCCATATCCCCGCTTTGCCTTCATTTTCACAGCCCTGGAAGTCTCAGTACCATTGTTTTCAACTCCAGTGTCTTCCTAACATTGCTGCTGCCCTTTGTGCTGCTGCTTCATCAATGGCATTTACTGAACACACATCAAGATCCAGCTCCAACATGGCCACGGTCCTGTAAGAGATGGCATGTGAATTTCTCTTTTTAATGTAAGCAAACATAACGCTGATATTCCACATGCTTTTTCACATTAAAAGACAGTACTTTACAGGAGGCAAGAGCTTCTTTTATTTGGTCGTGTTTTCATTTTTGTTTTTTTAAATTTCAATGTTTTTACATTTCTGTAGTTTCTCTGAAATCAATAAAGCAAAACCCATTATTTTCAGTGCTCATTTTAGCCCTTATAAAGGAGAAATGAGTACATTAATGCTGGAATTTAAAATGTTCACAGTAAGGAAGGAAGCACTGATCATTTTTCATTTATGCACTTTGAAACCGTAAGCCTGAAGCGGTAATATATTTATGAGCTGCTCTGAGAATGAATGCAATTATTAACTGAGCGCCATGAAAGAGAACTGATTAACTGAAGAGTTCTTTTCTGTGCTTCAGATGCCACACACCACCTTGTAAACACTTTAAAAAACGCTTATGGCTTAAAGGCGCCTCAATTCAGTTCAACTAACACGGACTAAACTAGCACAAGATACTTTGTGTGTTGCTTATTAGAAAAATCACGTGTTCCCCTCCCCTCCTTATTTCCCAAGCTTTTTATTCTTCAGGAGCTGGTTCAGATGTCTAGCTGCCATCTCCTCCAACATTCTTTCTCTGATCTTGGTAGCTGGGTTAAATGCTGCTGCTCTCTCATCCAGGGGGCTGTGTGCTAGCGGTCGTCACAGCCCTGCTGCATTGCGTTGTCATGCTCTATTTCCTCATTTGTCACCCTCAGTAACTGTGAGCACCTAGCCCAGGGGCTGGCCCTCATAGGCATTCACTAAATGTTTGTTTAACAAACCAATAACTGGATGAGTCAATGAATGAATCAAAGAATGAGTTGAAGAGTCCATTTAATCAAGCATTTTAGTGAAAGATACACAGAAGGCGTGCACTGAACTCGAGCCAGTGAATGGCTAACCAACTAGGACAAGATGCCGAACTCCAGAGAGGTTAGAAATCCTTTTGAGATTATTTTCAGTGGTATCTGTGAGTCTCTATGTTTCCATTAGCAGCTGCTATAATGTGCTTCTTGCACTTTAAAAAAATCATATTTTAACGTAAGATTAAATATGATTCAATCATTTTAGTAATAATAATGTATTGTAATATTCCTGTACACCTGTCCAAAGCTTTACATTTAAAAATGTTTCAAATGTGTCATCTCATGCAATTTTCTCCATTTCACAGAAAAGGAACAGAACTCTGAGAAGCTATGGAACTCCCCCCAAAATGAGTCCTGTGGCCTCCCAGACTGTTTATGACACTGGTTCTACATTGGTCTCATACCCCACTGGAGGGTGACAGTGCCATTAGTGATTACTATGAGACTGAGTTATGTGGGAAGACACACATGTTTCTCTGAAGTCAATGACAATTAAAGAATGAGTTGCCAAAAATAAATTGACCAAAACAATCAGTATTCAGTCAAAGCCTTCTTGAAATAATGGCAATTTTTGTACACAATGGGCCAATATTCAAACTTTTTTATGAATCTTTTAAATATTTGAATCCATTCCTCAGAATATACTTTACTTTTTCAATAATTATGAGTATCTTTATATTGTTATAGAATTATTTTTCACACTTTACTTTCTTATTTCTAATTTATCTTTAGACAATTATCCCAACTTCTACTTTTCTAAGAACTGTATGACATTTCTAGTTTTCATCTAAAAGAAAATATTTCAAAAGTAGATGCTGAAAATCACAACTTCAAATGTTGATAATTTCTTAGCTCTCTACATTGATTTTTTAAATCAATTTTAAAATAATTTGTCCATTCTCCAAGCTCTTTAACTAAAATGTATTTTGATTTTAAAGTTATCAGATAGTTATTCTTATTTTTCTTCTTTTGTTTTCACCATATTACACAATAAATTTATTCCAATTACTTTTACCTAATGTGAGCATAAATGTGGTTACCTCATGACGTTATACTGCCAGCATTTGACAGGACTTCTGAAGTCAGAATTAAAGATCTCATGAAAGTTGTGTATGAGGTAGATTTAAGGACAGAGCCTAACCACAGGCTTAGAAAAATAAACTAAAAGGAATGCTACCAATGAAAACTTGTGCAAAGATTCATAAATGATTAAAAAGAACGTGCAAAATAGAATGAATGCTTGAAGATAGGTAGAAATTTACAAAATTTCTCCATGGTGCACCAAATTACCAATACATAAAAATGTTTGATTTTTGCTCAATTTGCTCTTTCAAAGTCATAGTGTAGGTTTATTTGTGGGACATCTGAATCTATAGCCTAATGAATGAGTCTCATGATATTGTAGTAGAAAACTTTAGTGACAGATTATTGAGACCCTGATAGGTTTTATTTATTTGTTCTTTTGTTGTTGTTGTTGTTGTTGTTTTGGTGAGGAAGATTGGCCCTGAGTTAATATCTGTTGCCAATCTTCCTCTTTTTGCTTGAGGAAGATTGTCGCTGAGCTAACATCTGTGCCAGTCTTCCTCTATTTTATATGTGGGATGCCGCCACAGCATGGCTTGATGAGTGGTGTGTAGGTCCACACCCAAGATCCGAACTTAACCACTACACCACTGGGGCCAGCCCCATTTGTTCATTTTTTACAAGGAGCATTTCCTCCCTGAAGGACGTGTCAACAATCCTTGCCAAGAAATGTTGGGGAGAAGATACTGTTATTATCTCCTTTTTACAGATGAGGAACATGGTCTGATGATTACTGTGTATATAACTAGTGATAACATAAAGCAGACTAAGTAAGTACTAAAGAGAGACAAATAATGTAGCTGGGAAAGAAAAAGAACAATTAATTCTGGCAGGAAGGACAAACCCAAGAAGATGTAATAGAAAAGGTATATTTTGGCTGAGACTCAAAATATGACAAAAAAATTTACCAGCTGTAAATAGTTACCTGTAAAGCCACATTGCAATAATAGCACCAATATCAGGTCAACTCCAGTGTCGGATAATCAATAAAGGTTTGTCTACTTGACCCGAGCAAACTTTTCTTGTGTACTTGATAGGCTCCAGAGGGGACAACAGGTAATAAAACGATTTCTCATTTAACCCGTAATTTTTGTCTACCTTGTACTTACACATTATGTTTCCGGATGTGTAGATGCTGTGCATGTGAGTGAACAAAGAGCAGAAGACAGCATTCTCCTTGCATTCCAACACAAGTCCATTCATTGCTGGCGTTACCCTTGGAGAGAGCGTCAAGGAATTGGATCCAGGAAGCTCAGCTGAAGAGGGGAGACGGCTTCCCAGAACAGAGGGAAATCAAATCATAGCTGATAAGGGAAAGAAGCTGTAGCCAGAGTTAGTGCCAAACATCAGGCCTGAAGGATAAGACTACACTCAATATGAGAAAATGAATCATGAGGGCAAATCTAAAGACGGTCAAGATGCGGAGAAAAAGGTAGAGATAGAAAAACTATGAACATGACAGAGATGTAGATTCTCATCTGTGTGGGGCTTTTCTGAGCATCGGATCTTATCTCTCTGATGATCTGACTGAGATGGGGACCAAGGACATGGCACAGCTTATTCACAGCTGTGAAGCAAGACATGGCTGCCTAAGCCGAGAGACTTCCAGAATTGGAACCTAGACTGAACACAGAACGAGTTAAGAACTAAGAGGTTTAGTCTGGAATCTCAGTCACTAAATTCAAATAAGATAAATCCAAAAAGAGTTGAGGTCAGATGCATAAAAGGTAAAGACCTCAAGGAGACAAGGAAAATATAGCTCAGGTCCAGAGTATTAATCAAATTGGCCATCGACGTATTGCATCAGGGTAAGCAGCCCCCATAATTTGGAAGGGGGTTAGGGAGGTCCCATTCCAGATGTTCTATGGGAAATGGACACCGAGCTTGTAAAGAAGGTGTGCCCCATGCCCAGTGACCCTCACTAAGGGTTAACAATTTGGTTGTCAGTATCACATGCAGTTAATCTACTTTAAGTACTTAACTATTTATAATTTTCCATGCGTATTCTTTACTGGCATCTCATTTGCTTTGAAACCACCTTGTGGGGAGGAGAGAGTGAGTATGATTGGTTCCATATACCAGGTATGACTGTGCCAACCTCCTTGAGATTCCAACCAGTAAGGATCTTTCAATTGTTCTCTTTTCTTTGCAAACGTAAAGAACCCTATCGCTAAGGAAAGCAAACATACTGTGCGCCCACTCCCCTATCTACACTGCTACAGAATCTTCAAAGTAAAATTATTGATTCCTTTTCTGCTTCTTACCCTCAGAAGGATGATTATGCCCACGTCATGTGAATGGGCAGCAGGATGTTGGAATTCTCTTTCAGGATGCTAGCATCCTCTTTCTGCTTCCTTCCCCAATATTATTTTTCACTTTTTGAAAGCTCTTGGCTTTGTGAACTCACAGCAGCAAACCATGAATGATAGATGAGAAGAAAAATTCTATCCTTTCCAATATTAAACTGTGAGAGTCCAGACAATGCTTCCATTCTCTCCGACAAACCCAGTTATTCACGGGAATAGCAGTAACATAAAGAACAACCAAAATGCTAGTTTGGAAAATAAAATTATTTCAACAGGGGTGGAGAAAGGAAATAAAAAGAAAAGGGAGAGTTAGAAAAAGAGGTAAACAATTTATATTGCAAAGGGGATAATTTATTTTCCTTTAATATTTCCAACACTTTGGAATGAAATGGACTTGGAATAAAAATTGTTTACACACCCCAACTGCCCTGTTTAAATTGATCTTCTTTACCTGCTGTGTGACTTTTTAAAAACAGGTCTATTTTATTTTCCATTGTGGTCATTTCAATTCAAACCAGTGTTATGATGGGATAATAACTTTGTCCTCGTCGAGGTAAGCACCACACAGCTCAGCCGTCCTGACTCGCCCTGCAGTGCTGGCCTCGTGAGACTGACGCTGACTCGGGCAGCACTGAGCCTTCCAGGTGGCTCTTGTCCCGGGCTGTGATGATGAGATGGATGTAGGGGGGTGTGGAATGAGGGCCCAGGGTGCTGTAGGGGAGCTGGACCACTGGGCACCACAACCAGACCCCTCCCCTCCACACAGAGAGCTCAGAGTTTTGTTTTAATTCCCATTTGGCCATTTACCAGTTTTATGATCACAGACAAATTACTTAAATTCTGTGAGCCTAGTTATTGTTTCCCACCAATAAATGGAGGAAAGTAATACCAGCTTAAAGTCTCGATTTGAGGATTAGCTATGACATAGGCAAAGCATATGGTATCTGAAATATAATGGGCATTAAATAAATATTAGATATTAAATCAGTTTTTTTAATATTAAAAATCAGAGATTCAATCTTCCTTGATTAGGGAAATCAGTTATTATTTCATTTATTCCTATAAGTGCCTTTTCTTGGTTATTACACTTCATTTTTTTTCTTTAAAAGGAATATTGTAACTCCAGTATCCGAAGATGAAGTAATCGGTTAGCCAACAGTAAAAAAAGAGGGAATATTCTCATTTCTTTTTTAATATTATCAATCAACATTATATCTTTAATGGAAAGTGAATTATAGACATCTGCTCGTGTTGTATTCTGAAGGTGAGCGAGCACTGAGGAGAGAGTCCTTGAGTTGAAGCCAGGAGGACCTGACTTTGACTCTAGAACTTGTCTCTTAATTGCTGTTTGCACTTAGATAAGTCACTCAGACTCATTTTAGTTTGATGCAAAAAAGTATCGATAGTGATCCCAGACCTGTGTTGAAGGCTAGAGATACTGTGATGATGGGGTAAAGTCTAAGAGCTTCAGTTTCTTCGTCTGTTTTATTGAAAACGTACAAGCCCCCATCATCTCTTGCCTGGACAACTGAAAGAGCCTTTCACAGCTTTCTGTTTTCACTCCTGCTCCTGTTCCGCACCTGCCCAGCTGCCCATCTATTCTCTCCTCAAGATCTAGACAATCAGGTGAAACCCGTAAATGGCAAATCAGGGCCCTCCTCTGCTCAGACCCCGCCAGTAGCCTCTTAGCTCAGGTAGAGAGAACTCTGGACTCCTGAGCACAGCCCCGAGGCCCCCTGGCCTGCCCTGCTGCCTCCAACACACCTCCCCTCACTGTCCCTTTGCTCAGCGTGCTCCAGACACACTGATCTTCCCTCTTCAAACAAGCTGACCTATGTTCTACTCCAGGACCTTTGCACATGCTGTTCTCTGTGTTTTTCCCCTTGGACCATGTATGGTTTGTTCCCTCCCTTCAGTCAGCTTTCCCTTCAAATGTAACGTCTCAGAGACCCCTTCTTTAGCTTTTTTATCTAGAAGAGCCCGCCACATTCTGTCCACCTCCTTGTCACCCTCCTTACTCTTAACCTGCTTTATTTTTATTCATAACACTCACCATTACCCTGAATTATGTCACACATCTGTGTATTTCATTATTTGTGGTCTGTTTCTCCCACAAGGCTGTCAGCTTCACAAGGGCGGGATCTTGATGACGTGTTCATTACGTTATTTTCAGTACTTAGAACAAAATGAGTGCTCAATACAACTCTGTCGCCTGCCTGCACAAACAAATGTCCCCAAGGCTGCCTGATGATTAATGAGATAAGATATGCAAAGTGACAGCAGTGAGCTTGGCCCCAAGTGGATGCTTAATGAATGAACTAGAAAGAGAAGATTCTTGTACGGATTCCAGCAAACCATGATCCTTCACGTGGGATTTATAGGGACACCCTAATTGTCTTATAATCTTCATATGCCCCATTACGGTTGTCCACACACAGCAAGGGAGAATGGGAAGTCCTTCTCTTAGGAAATAATGAGATTAATAATACTATATTGCCTATTTGAAAGTTGCTAAGAGGGTAGATCTTAAAAGTTCTCATCTTAAGAAAAAAATTTTGTAACTGTGTCTGGTGACAGATGTTAACTGGACTTATTGTGATGATCATTTTGCAATATACACAAATATTAAATCATTGTGTTGTACACCTGAAACTAATATAATGTTATATGTCAATTATATCACAATTTTTTAAATTAAATTATGTTCATTCCAGGATGAAGCACAGACTGCAAGGGCCAGGATGAGGATGAGCTGGAGCAGGCCAGAGTGGAAGGACATCCGAGGCCAGGGACTAGGAAGTTGGTGGGACAGAGGCTAAGAAATGGCCACTGTTTCACAGCAGGCTGGCCTGGGAAAAAGAGGTCTTCACCAGAAAGAGTTAGACAGCGATTCCTTGGGAGACGACCATCCAGGCTTTGGGGACATTCGAGGCCCAGCCCTGTGTATGAAATTCCTCAAGGAGATGGGAAATTCCTTTTACTGTTCTCCACATGAACTTTTTTCTTCTTGGAGACTCTCTGTCTCCCTACCTTCTTACATCAGTCACCTGGCCAATTGCAATGGCTTCTAAACACACCCAGCCATCAGTCCACTCCCCACCCGCTGAAAATCTCTACTCCCCAGTCCAACCTCCAAAATGGATGCCTCTCCCCATCACTCTTGGAAGGAGATAAAATTCAAACTCCTGAGTATGCCTTTTATAGGCTGGTTCCTGACTTTCTCTCCTGCCTCACAGTCTACTGTTTCCCCCAACAAATCATATCCTCCAGCCTGACAAAATTACTCATTATTTCCTGAACACGCTACACCTTTTTTTTTTTTTTTTTTTTGGTGAGGAAGATTCACTCTGAGCTAACATCCATTGCCAATCTTTCTCTTTTTTTTTTTTTGCTTGAGGAAGATTAGCCCTGAGCTAACATCTGTGCTAATCTTCCTCTATCTTTTTTTTGTATGTAGGTCACCACCACAACATGGCTTGATGAGTGGTATAGGTCTGCACCAGGGATCTGAACCTGCAAACTCAGGCCACCAAAGCAGAGTGTGCCAGACTTAACCACCATGCCATAGAGTTGGCCCCCACACTACGCTTTTTTCTTCTGCCTTCAATTCTACTCCCATCTTTTTGCATATGATACATGCCTCTCCTGGTGCTTTCCTAGTGACCTCCCTGTACCACACATGGGAGTGAGAGGCATCCACATTTTTATCACCACCTCCCTCTCATAGAAAATGGTGGTAGCTCTAGTTTTGTCTAATATGATTATCAATTTCCCTTCTCTATTAATCATGTCAACCAGTGCATGTCCTTCTCAGAGCAGGGCTGAGCACAAGACCTAGATTAACAGGTGAAAATACTCCATCCATTGACCACAGAGAATTTTTCCAGGATGGGCACAATTTCCAAGCAAGGTTAGTCAGTTCTTCCCAGGGGACTGATATACAAGCACGGGAAAGATAAACATCTTGTGTTTGGCTGTTAAGATAACAGGATGCAGGTCCAAGAGCAGTGATGGTCACCTGGCCTCCCTGAGGTCAGACCTTGTTTACAGAATGAAGCCACACAAAGACATGCAGAGCTGAGGTGGGGAGACACAAGGCCCTGAGGACGTCTGGCAGAGAAATCGACCCTGAGTGTGGATTCAATAAGTACAATGAACATCAAAGTGTTGATTGAATAATGGACAGATGGATGTGGATGTATGGACAAATAGAATGACCATGGATGGACAGACAGATGGATGAGGAGGCATACACCTGTGCCATAACTGGGGCCAGATGAAGAAAATAGAACCATACATGACGCAGAGTTCTCTTCTTTCCTGGGTGTAATACACCCTTCTAAACAGCTCAGCACCTTCCTGTTTGCTTTGCAAAATTGTGTTGAACTCCATGTTGTGTGTTGCTGGGAGTGTTTGTGCTTTTCCTACAGCTGCCATTGTTGAATCGGATGAAAGATTTTGCGAAATGTCTCATCTGTGCATGTTTCTAACAGCTTTTTATGATTCATCATTGATCATCTCAAGATCACTCTGCATGGCTCTAATTGACACTATATTTAGATTTATCACCATGGCTGACTTTATTTTTTACACTTTTAATTATATTGTCTTCTGATGGGAAAATATTAGAGCTTGAGTAGAATTATATGAAGTCCAAAAATCTACAGCAAAAGATTTCAAAGATTGATGATACTCAATATTGTCATGGGGGTGTAGAGAAGGGAACCCACATAATCTGCTGATGGAAGTTGTATTTTAGCAAAACTTTACTGGAGGACAACTTGGCGATATGTGTCAAAACCTGAAATGCCCTAGCAATGCCGGAAAGGGGAATTTTTGGCTAAGGAAGTAACTGAATAATTGTTCAAATATATATAAAGTATATTCATTGCATCATTATTTTTAATAGTGAAACACTGAAAACATCCAAACCGTCTATCAATACAGGATTAGTTAAACAAATTATAGCACATCTAGGTTATGTAATATTATATATACTTTAAAAAGATAAGATATAGACAAGCATATATATGGATACAGAGATGTAGATATAAAGATAGAGAAATATATGTGTATGGATATATAGACAGACACATAGAGATGAGAAGATTTTCCTGATATATTGTTAAATTTAAAAATTAAGTCACAGACAAGAGTGTATAACTCCACTTCTTTTGAAAATAATATAATATTCATACATATATATTTATACACATCAAAAAATCCAAAAGCCAAAAGCATATTTGCCAAACTATTACCAACAGTTCTTTCAGAGGAGTAGATTATAAGGGGTTTTTATTTTATTTTTTATACATTTCTGTATTGTTTGACTTTTAATGGTTAGTAGGTACACTTTAATAATAAGATAAATGGTAAAAAGATTTCCGTTTGGGGAAAAATAGCTCCCATATGTTACTCTTCATTCTTTGGGGTGTTTACTGATTATAGTTCTGTCTATATTTTATGAAGTGGACCTGTGCAAATACGAGGCTATTCTGTGCTCACATCTGTAATGCATCCAGCTGTTTAGGAGCCTGAGTGTGACCTCACTTAGAGTTTGCTCTGATGCTTGGTTTGGGACAGATACCAGTATAAGACTGTTAGAAAACATAAATTTATTTCTTAATACATTCATCCCTTGATATTGTAGGGATAAAACCAGATGGACTCTAAAATCCAATATGAGAACGTATGTAAAGATTAAACCCTGGAATCAGACAAGCTTGCGTGTCTGGGAATGAAAGAGAGAAATCAGGGGTAGGTTCATCATTTTTAGCACAAATGATGAAAATAAAAACTCCGAAGAAAAGCCAACATCAGTATGAGGCTGGAGGAAGTCGAAGGAGGGTGGCCAGAGAGTAGAAGAAGTTTCTGAGTGATTCTACACCCAGTTAAGACTGTCGCATTTCTTGTTTCGATTTTAGTTTCTGGTTTTTTAAAATCTGTTAAAACTTCTCTTGTCCTTCCATACTTGCCTAAGGCAATTGACCTTATTTGAGAGGAGCGTGGTTTAATAGAGCGCAATGTCTAAAGTCACAGGGCTGAGCTACGTGTTAACGTCACGATCCTGACTCTGCTACCGAGTCCCTGAGACTCAGTTTCTTCATTTGCAAAACAATCGGAAGCGGCGCCTCCACAAAATTCCATCCAAGGTGTGTATGTATAGGGTTTTGTAAACTGTAAAGTCCTTGTGGAGATGTGAGCCCTCTTTATTTTTGTCATCATGTCCCTCTAAACCTCCAGAGGCCACCATGGCCCCTGATTCTCAGGAGATTAAGAAAAAAAATCTCATTGTTTGCATCCAAGTGGACAAGATAAAGAGTTTAGAGAGACACGGGCGCTTGTCTCACTTACACAGCTTACTTGACGAATGTCCACAGGCAAGCCCACATGGACGTAGAGACACGCACCCTCTTCTAAAAAGCTGGATTTCTAATCCCTGCTGCACAGTGTGGCTGTGTGGCTCCAATCAGACAATGGTTATGGAAATGCTTTATCAACTGTTACATGACAGACGATGTCAGCTGTCATCATAACATCGGTATTGACAATTGTTAAAGAAAACCAGAGCAGGACCGTAGTTACAGTGGTAAACACAGATTTTATTGAAGAACTATTGCAATAGAAGAAAAGAGACCTCAGTGTGGAACTGGGCTCAATGCCAAACACAAGAAGGAAAAGGCGGGATTTATACCCATGGTTCAGGTCGGGGGGTTGGTGGATAGAAAATGACTGAGAGGAGACAGCAAAAGGAGGGGGGTTCTTCCTAGACGGACCGCAGGTCTCTCGCTGGAGGCAGGCCAGGGCATCAGACATTTCCTGGGTGGACACCGGGGGATGTGGAATTTGATCAGCTATGGAGGGTGATGGGATATTGAGAGTTGGGGATTCTGGGTAAACTGACTCAGCAGGATTTTCGCTACCGCTGGGCTCTTGACCATAAAGCCCAAGGATAGCCCCTCATCAGAAAAGGGCCCAGAGAAGCCTGTCTAGAGTTTAGTCATGGAGAGAGTCTCTGTCACAATATATGCTAGTTGTTGATTATCTTAATATTATGTTAATGATATCAGTTAATACTGCTTATAAGTATTATAGAGTAATAATGGAACTCAGGGTCCTGTTCTAATAACCTAGAAGCTTCAGACTCAAGGTTCTCAGGAGATATATTTTGATACCTGAAGCACATTGAAGCTTTACCAGGTACCTTTGAGGGTTCAGCTTTTTCTAGGAAATGCAGTGTATATAGGAAGGACAAATGCTCACCAGGCTGGAGTGTTTTAGTAAGCACAGAGAAGGCCTCGCTCTCACTGCTGGGATCTGCACCATGAAGGCCTGTGACACAGAACCAACGCGAGACCTCCCAACTTGAGCCAAGAGATACGAGTTTGGACAAGGCAGAGCCAGGATGCTCGTCCCAGTGTCTCCCAGGCCAAAATCTGTGTTGGCCCTTCCTGACTTACTTCTCCTTTTTAGACAAGATGTGAGCCCTTAGACAGAAAGGGCATCTAATAAGATAAAATGATGTACATAAAAGCACTTCAGCGTATAAAGAGCTTATACTGATGTTGGCTTTCTGCAAAGATTTTATTTTCACCATTTCTGCTAAAAGCTTTACTGGGAGCAGACTGAGCCCCCCCCTCAGCAGTCTGCAGAGCAGGCTCCTCACACTGCTCACTTCTCATGCTGCCCTGGGAATTTTCGTACGCGGCTTTAGCAGCAGCAAAGCCAGCATTGTGACTCTTATCATCAGGATGCGAACTTGGCTTTATCCTTTTGTCCAAAACATCTGCCTGAAAGATTGTAGCCCGGAAGCAACTGGTAAAACGTAAGAATCTAGCTCAGCCTGTCACTGGCTTGCTCAAATTAAAGCCATTTGCATTTCTAAAATGTATTAGTTCCATTCAAAGCCAGCCATAGAAATGGAAATGGTCTTGGGGGAACAGCCTGTTCCTAATCAGTGATCCTGGGCAACGAGGCAGGCGCTGACTTTAAACCGCAGCCTCGATTCTCTGCAGGAGACCCCAGATGCCAGTTTCCAAAGGTGAGCGGGTGTGAACGCCACTCGCCTCCTCAGTGTGACTGATTCCCGGGGCTGTGGCACCAGGAGCTGTCAGCGCTGATTAGAGAGCCAGAGGGCATGACTTTGCTCTGGAGGATGCGAAACAAAAGTTACAAAACAATAACCGCAGAGCAAAAAGCCGTTCTTAAATCTTCGGGGAACTCACTGGGGATGGGAAGGGCAGACGCAAACCACTGGTCAGAAGTTGAATGGTTTCTAAAATTCAAGTCCATAAGGAAAAAGAATAATGGACAGTGAAACCCAGAACACAGTCAGTAG